CTTGGGTGGTAGCGGGGAAGAAGAAGGGCGGAGTGCGCTTGCGCGGAGCCGCCTATCCTCCTTGCGCATGCGCAACAAGAACGAAGGGACGTACGGCAGTGCTGGCACGCATGGTGGCGTCCGGGTAGCGTTCTGCGCTTGCGCAGTACCACAGAAAACGTACGGAACTTTGCGTATGGCGGCGTGGACGCGTGTGTTGCGCATGCGCAGAGGGAAAAGACGGGGAGGGAAAAAATTGGATTTTGGATGTTCCGGATTCGCAAAATTTGGGGGTTGGATCCGCAAATTCCCATTCGGGAGGGACTGAGATCCCCAGAATCCCTCCGAGACCCCAAAACTCGGGCTGAACTCGCCGAAAGGGCGTCTCAGCGCGCTAAAAGCGGGTCCCGGACACCCCAAAATCTCTAAAATTCCCTCAAATTCGGGGCCTGGACCCCTCTGGAATCCCCCGAAGTCGAAACGCTCAAGACCTCACAAATTGTGGATCAGGACCTACATTTGAGGCTTTAAAGAAGGTCTTGTGTGGGATTTTGGGCGTCTCAGCGCGCTCCGGACACAAATTTTTGGGTGAATTTCGGGGATTTCTCTGGGATTTAAAACTTTAATCGTATTAATAAAGAATCGGCCAATCAGAGCTCGCCGCGCCCGCGGGGGGCGGAGCTTTACGCCCACTCAGCCAATCGCTTGCACAACAAACCGCTGACCAATCGCCACTCGGCGGAGATCTTGATTGGCAGGGGACTTTTATCTGATAACCAATCCAATTACAGGGCGGGTTTACATGGGCGGGGTTTTCTGGCGCCTCAGCCAATCACAGCGCGCGAGGGGCGTTTCCCGCCGTTTTCCCCTCAGCGCGGGAGCCGCCATGGAGCCGCTCCGGCCTTGGCTCGTCCCGTTCCTGCTGCCCGAGCGCTGCTTCGACCAATTCTTCCTGCGCTTCCAGCTCCTCGACGGTGCCGGAGGGGCCGCGGGGGGCGGTTCCGGGGCTTTTTGGGCCTTTTCGGGGGGTTTTGAGCCGGATTTTGGGGCGCCTTTAAGGGCTGTGGGGGCGGCCGCCATTTTGGTTACGGGCGGGAGTTGTGGGGACGCCGCCATCTTGGTTACGGGCGCGGGAAAAAAAAGCGCCGCCATTTTTGTTTCGGCCGTGAGGCGATGCCGCCGCCATCTTTGTTTTGGGTGTGGGGGGGACCCAAATTTTGAGGAATTTTTAGGGAATTTTGAGGAATTTTTGGGAATTTTGGCGTCACTTCACCTCACCTTTCTCCTTTCTCCGCAGTTCCGTGCTTGAAAATCCTCCTGAGCAAAGTTCTGGGCTACGGGATCGTGGCGGGATCCGTCCTGGGTGAGATTTTGGGGAGATCTGAGGGGATTTTGGGGCTCCAGGGAGGGGTTTGTGATCTCAGATTATTTTAGGATTAATTTGGGGAGATTTTGGGGTTTTTTTGGGATTTCACCCCGTTTCCCCCCCAGTGAAGGTTCCCCAGCTGCTGAAGGTTTGGGGGTCCCTGGGGGGGCATTTTTGGGTAATTTTGCGGTATTTTTGGTAATTTTGGGGTATTCCGATGTAATTCTCTGTAATTTTGGGGTATCTTGATGTATTTTTTGGTAATTTTAGGGTATTTTTTTGTAATTTTGGGGCATCT